TTATTTATGAATGATTTTTATTGGTATAATAATTTGATTGAAAACTTAATTTTTTATTTTGTATTTTTATATTTTAAAAATTTAGATTATTAATGAATCTAATTTATATTTAATTTATGTAATTATCTAAAAAAACTTTTTTACTATAATATCTATCAAACCTTTAAAAAATTACTAAGCACATATCAAATATATATCTATTATATAAATAAGTTAGGAGGGACAAATCAATGAGATAAAGAAGAAGAGACAAAAATCATCTCTAATTGGTTGTATCTCTCATTGTTTTTATGAAAAGTTCTTATCAAAAGTGAAACAAAAGTTGAGTTCAAGGCCTTAACATAACCAAGTTAACATTAATTATATCAAAAGATTGTGTATAAATATATAATAATAAGAACAATATAATCTTAAAGCACAATCAATTGGAATTTTGTCTTACAATTGGTAAATTTATATTATTAATTCAAGGAGGGCATTGTGAGAGGACACACCAAGGAGAGTATAAAAACAAAGCACGGAGGAGGAGATAGAAAGATAATAGGAGAAGGTAGGGCTTAGTGACCAATGTTGATTGCACTTTGTAATTAGGTTGGTATTTATAACTTTGCTATTGCTTTGGCTTTACAATTCTCAATTAGAATAGTTTTACAAATTTTTAAAAATGAGTAAGAAGATATCACCTATTATTAGAATAAAAATGACAACCTATATTATAGACTATGTTAGAATCTCTAACAAAGGCCTTCATTTTGAACCCAATCGATAACTACCTACTTTGAGGAGGTAAAATTTCATTTCTTAATCTATGTTGTAGACTATAATAGAATTCCCAACCATTTGAAATTGATTTTTGGAAAGAAAATTCTAAAGTTTTAAAAAGATATCTTATAAAGTTTCATTTGCAAGCTTTTATGATCAAACATAGAGTCACCACCAAATAAGAGAGTAAGTGATTGAGTGATCAAGTGAGCTACAATTTACTAAAGATAAGTAGAGTATTATGCATGTACTAGAAGATGATAAAGAAGTTCCAGCAAAGTCTAGAATAGAAGAGAGATTTGTTATAATAATAAGGTGATGTCAAAAGTAGTTGATGCATTAGATAGAGAATTGTTGTGTGACATTTTTATTATGTGTAGGTTTGCAAAGAACAAGAGTTGTGTGTGGTTAAGAAGCAAGTGATTTTTTTTTTTTTAACTTAAATTTTTTAATTATTATAGTAAATATAAATCATATTTTCTAATTACATTAAAGAAACATAAATAATTCTATTGTTATGTATATATTATTGATTTTTATTTTTATTTTTTTAGATTAATATTTCTTTAGAAGTAGTGAATTTTTGACTTAGCAACCACAAATTAAACTTTTATAGTTTTTTTTTTGTAGCTAATGGCACATGTAACCACTACTATATATATATATATATATATATATATATAGTTAAAGATAAAAAATGAGATATAAATACTTATATAAATGAGATATAAATAAAAAATTTAAATAAAAATTTTACACAAAAAAATTTGTATATATATATATATTAATGGAAATCTATATTATTGGCTATAAAATAAATAATAATATAATAAATACATTAATAGATGGAATCTTTGTAATGATTAAGTTGTAGCTTACTAAATGTATAACTAATAAGAAAAGATGATTGTTCTAGTAATATTTGTTTATATACTATAAATTGGCCATTGATGTACACCAAATTAGAAATATCAGAATGAACAACCTTCTTTATGCTAAAAGGCCTAACTTAGACTTTGTTATAAATCTTCTTTTCTTAATTCTTAACTTGCATGAACTTAGTTGCTCCACCTCTTTCAATAGCCCCATTCATAGTTAAGATCATAGGCCTATAACTTGAATTAAACCACTACCAATCTTTTTAGAATTACAACTTAGTTATAGAATCAAAGCATGTCCTTCTAGTACAATATCCTACATACGCCAAGAATACATATCTTGAAAGGCATTTCTTTGTTGTCTACACATTGTCGTTCTCTAGTATTATTGGTCGTTGGTTAGGAGTACTATGAGAGTGCACCTTAATTATGGAACCAAATGAGAGCTTGCCAAGCTCTTAACAATTGACGTACATCATAGAACAAAATACCTTTCAAATCAAACTAGAATAAAAATCTTAAAGTAAAATGAGATAATGAATGGTTATGCAAACAAACTTGCACAAAAGAAGCATAAAGTTTTCTTTTTGAGATAAACTTGACTTCTCTTTGTCATTGTGGTCAGGGCCTTCAAATTCTACTTGATGTAGTACACGTCTAGACATGTGATGTTATCCTACATCAACTTAGCTCATGTGCTCCGGAATTCCAATTTCATTATTTGATTCTATTCTACCTTAAATATATGTCAATTTACTCTCATGAGATCTTTATGTTGCAAGAGCTTCACAAAAAAAATGCATACATGATACCTTGCAAACATAATGTCTTGCAATGATTTATACATAATGCACTCACATGCACACATAATGTCTTATAGTATGAATAGAACATTATATTGATATCCCATAGTATAAGTAGAATATTCTAATGCATGTCAAGGCCTTTTGAATTGGCAAATTAAGTTAAATTTTAATGAGAACAATGAAGCAAAACTTTTGATGAAAACAATGATGATTGAGTGATGCATGCAGCTAATCAAAGATTATTTTTATCTCTTCTTGTTTATCCCGTTGGTTTGTCCACCTTGAGTTGTTTTATATAATAGATGTATCTCTTTAATTGTCCTTCTCCTAATAATCATTTTGGAGTTGTTGGAAGCACTATTTTCAACAGCCCAAAATTCTACCCCTAAAAGTGATAAGCGATAGTAGGGTTGAGGAGAGAGGGGGAGATGGGTGGTGACGGAAAGAAGAAATGGTCCGCTCGAGGCGCTTGCTTGCATGTATCATCCTCTCCTTTCGGGTGGATTGATTAACCAGTATCCCGCAACAAAGCTATAGTCGCAATGTGGGGATGAGGGAGCTCTTTCTGCAACGATAACACGATTCCGAAGTAGGTGGCGATGCGCAGAGGTGGCATTTAAGAAGGGGCATTTAAGAAGAGGAGGGAAGATGGGGGAGGCAAATCCTCCAATCAATCGCACACTGCTAAAGAAGTTTGAGAAGCAAAAGGAAGCCAAAAGGAGTTGCGGAGATGGAGGCGGATGGCTTTGTCGGGGGGCCACTAGGGCTCCTACCCAGGATAGCTTCCTTGCATTCATGGCGACTTGGTTTTCACTCCTTCGCTCTTGCCATCCCTTGCTTTTGCCTCCCCCCCCCCCCAGTCTTTTTTATGCTCCAATTTGTTGAATCGAGCATCCTCTTCCTCTTCGACTCTCCGGTATTCCGGGAAGGGTGCCCAGGACAATGCGGGAATTTACATGATGCTTCTCCCCATGATTTCTGTGAGTTTGAGCTTGGTGGGTCCAGAATTTACTACGTTTTTTTCAATAACATAAAAGAAAAGGAAACGTCGTTAATGTTGGAGGGGGGGGGGGTAATAAGAAAATAATAGAAGAACAGGAAAAAAAAATCTAGTTTCTTTTCTGTTTTGGTATCCTCTCCCCACCGTCCACCATGGAACTTAACTTTTTGACAGTTTAACGAATTCGTCATTTCGGTAATTTTCCCTCCTTATCGATGCATTATCTGATACTCATTCACCTGTATTCGTTAGACAGTTGTTAGATTTTCTATGTGTGCGTGCACCAACAGAATCGCATCTGATATTCAAAGTAGTTACAAATGAAAATATGACGTTTTCCAAGAAGTTTTTCACTATTTTCTTACATTTATATATATGATTTTATGAATTCCTATTATTTTCCTCTTTCCCTCTTTTTAAAAAATGCTGGGTATTCCGATGTGAAGAATCAAAGAGGACATTGGAACTACAGAGAATCTAGGTAATTAAGTAAACAGGGTTTATCGATCCTTGTTAATCCGTAGAAGAGTGTATTACACCACCTTGTGAGGATTCATCTTGATTGATTCCATTAGAAGCATGGCGGACCAGGCTGGTGGAAATAGGGTGCAGAAAGCAAATCTAGAAAATACGATTTCTTCCTTCATGGTTTCTCATTGGAGATAAGGATCCAATTAGCCCTCATATGTTATCCGAAGAAGGCGCAGTCCGTCACATGGATAATGAAAGTTGCCATTTCTTTTTTACTACTTTCCAAAAGGTGAGACGAGTGATTCTTCGGAGACAGAAGCCAATGCCACTCTGGTAACGTAAAACGGAAGCCGTCGGAAGCGTAACCTCACACAAGCAACAAAAACCTTGAAGAATGGTGGGATTTCGCCGAGGATGGGTAGAGTCGTGCGACGAGGTGCAGTGGGGAAGGTGGGCTACCACGCTCCCAAGCCAACTCCCGCTCCCGCCAATCCAATGAGAAGGGAGAAACGAAGAAGGAAAAACTAAAATCCAGCGGAACAGGCTCGAATCTGGTGCGGTAGCAATGCCAAAGTTGCACTTGGTATTACAAAGCTTCAAAAAAATAATCGGAACTCGAACCGAAGTACAGTAAGTGACGACTCTGAATGTGCGCAGTTGTAGAAGATGGAGGAAATTGTCGAGAAAAGTGGAACCTAACTAACTTCCGCTGAAGATCTCGTCGTCTTAGTCTCTCGCTCTCTCTTTTGTTGACCGACTCTCAAGGTTTGACCAGACTTTGTGGCCGGAAATCGGGGAATTCCCCCGCATCTCAGAGGGCATTTAAGAGCTCTGTGATTTCCACTTTCAGGAATCACAGCCTCATATTTTCCATATGAGGCAAACTGACCCCAATTTACTCAGTTAGATGTCGTCAATGGCGCCAAAGTTTTCATCTGTTCATCGCATGATTTCGTATCAAATTTAGAACCACTTACTTATCTTAACTTTGGTGATCCAAATTTGGAAAAGTGACCCTGCGAAACCACGGCACAAGTAGAAAAAGGCTCTGTAGAGGGAAACCTTGGAACTCGCAGAAATATGATTTTTTTATGGAAGATTTTTCAGGACTCTTATACTTATACGAACATTGATGTTGTCAGTGACATAGTTCTAGTCTTGCGTAACTGCGCCCTTCGCTACTTATCTGCTCCAATATTGGTACTCTCTGAACTCTGGGAGCTTGGTGGTTCTCCATTCAGAGAGACAGAGAGTGAGGAGAATAGCATCCACAGACCATGGGCAGGCCGCAGAAATACCGAGGAGTGCGACAACGGCACTGGGGATCATGGGTCTCCGAGATCCGCCACCCTCAATTGTAAGCATCAGTCATCTTATCACTCCGTACCTTGTTCGCCCTCCTCAATGCACCGTGTCCAGATGTGTGTTATGTATTGGGATAATGTGGGGGGCTAGCTTGTATAGTGCGAGAATTTGTGCCCTTGTTTTCAAAGATATGGAGTCACATCTGCGTCACTGCGAAGTAGTGCTCTCTAGTGCGAGTCTGGAGTGTCTCGGAATCAGCTGAATGCATCCGCAGTTCCTTGGAAAACCAAAGGGAATTCATTGTTTCGTTTGCTACCACCGGCATTGCGGTTGAGGATGGGCGCTAGTGGTGCAAGAGTACCAATTCTGCACAATGTGGGAACTGATGTGCAATTCTACGGAGAGATGTGGCGTTTGCACTTTGTGAAATTGATAGAAATGTGCATTAGCTGATACTTTGTCGTCGTGCAGGAAGACCAGGGTGTGGTTGGGTACATTCGAGACTGCTGAAGATGCTGCGCACGCATATGACGAAGCGGCAAGGCTGATGTGCGGGGCGAAAGCGCGCACCAATTTCCCCTACGACCCGCACGCGTCCAAGGGACCCAAGTCGCAACTGCTGTCCGCTACTCTCACGGCCAAGCTCCAGCGCTGGTATTTGCAGTCGCTGCAACCCGACGCTCAGCAGGGAAAAAAGTCTTCCTCTCGAATGTCTCAGTCGTCGCTTCCGTGTCTTTGCCAACTCAAGCATGCGGAGCAATCCAATCTAGGATCATGCCAGAACCAGATTTCGAGTTCGCAGCCACTAGAATCCAACCTGGTGAGAATTGAGCACTTCGATGACAATGCCGACTCGTTTCAAGCTCAGCCACAACCAGCGAGCTCCAGCGATAGCTGCATCTCGGAAGAAGACAAGTTCGCAGCTGAAATGATCGAAGAGCTTCTCAGCTGGCAAACCTCCAGCCAATTCTACGGTTCCTTCAACTCACCGACGATGTCTGATTCCGGTTCCAGCAGCCCCTGCTCTGTCCTTACAGCTTCGGGATACTAATCCCACGGTCGTGGTTTTTACTTTTTGGTTTTCTTTTCTTTTGCACTTGCGCCAAGACTAAAAGGTTCGAAATGCAACAATGTTGAGCTGGAGAGGAATGGCGCTTACACAGGGCGACTTTATCAGTCCTCGGTCGATCCTCCATGCGAAACGAACCGTGCTGCCTCTGCAACCTGCCCACCTTTTTGGAGATTTTCAATAGTGATTGTTCAATTACGACACCAAGATGAGAGAGAGAGAGAGAGAGAGAGTATCACAACCCAGATCGCAGTGTAGCTAGTTAGTAGCGAGTGAGGGGTGGGATGGGTTTGGGAGTCTAGAATACCGTAATCGACACACGGACACACACATGGACAGACACAAATACACAGGGAGTCCTCTCGCCGGAAGCTCAATAGCTAGCTTCTGCGTAGACGAGACTCGGACGTGATGCTGCAATGTACACACCTACACACACAGATGTGCGGCATCGTATCCTAATGAAGAAATACTGACACACTTTCACATACACATATCTATCTAGCCCAGCATGTGTTTTTATTTTTTCATTCCTTTTGGCGTCGAATTGTTTGTTTTCAATGCGGGGCCATACGATTGGAGTATTGCCACAAGTTTTGGATTTCAGTATGATCTCATCTGAAAGCTTGCCTGCAGAGTGCATTGCTTCTCAATAAGAAAAATAATGTCAATGATAATTGGAATGAGGTTTCGTAAAACAGTGCAAAACCCACATCTTCACAATTCAGCACTGGGAGAGGATATTAATTGGGGTGTTTCAGAGCTGAATCAAGAGCTTAATTAGGGGGCTATTGGACGAGTGAAATGGTTCAGAGAATTCATTTTGGAGTGTGGTAATTTGGAAGGAAGCCGTCGCGTGTGCTCATTCCTGAGATTTCATTCTAGAGATTTCATTGTTGAGATCTTTCTAAAAAGTTTCATAGCTGAACTGCATTGATATGTGTTAGTGGCCAACATTGCTTTATGTTAATGACTAAATTTGTGGATCTGATTTTTGCTGGACTAGGGGATGGATCCAAGCTACTACACAGTTCACCATGTTGTTTGAAATAAATAAACAAATAAATATAATACTCAACTGGTGCTATGAAATGGCTTTAGGGATCACAGATTGGTTTGCCAATCTCATGGGAAGATATTGGATTCCATGTTTCCTTGAACAAATACTCTTCTCAACCCCATTTCCTCTTGTTTGATACCCAATAGTGACACAAGACCATCCTGTCCTTTTTTTCTCCCTCATAATTTTAGAAGATAGCATTGAAACCAATCTTTCTAGATGCACGATACACTTTTGAAAAAACAGAATAAATTTGCTTTTTAATGTGAATGTTCTCAATTAAATTAAGACAGCAACAACAAAAACAACAACATGAAGGAAGCCTGCAGCAATGCCTTCCTCATTCCCACAACATGGTTTGGTTTGTTTTTATTTGGAAGGCAATTTGGGGGCAAGAGGGCACAGTGGGGCAACATAGGACTATATATATAATAAAAACACAAAGAGGGGGGATCACCATCCTTTTGTTCTTCTGTGTTTGTTATTTTTTCCCTCCCTCAATCCCATCCCCATATAGAAACCTAAAGATCCACCACCGTGCCGCCACTCACACACAGCCATGATTTTAGAATGTGCTTGCCTGACTGACAGACTCCATGTTACATTTTCTATTTTAGGGCTTTCAAGGGGGCAGTGTGAGGGATGGGCAGACAGATGCGCTCACGGGCAGCGCTGAAGTGAAAGAGGGGCAGCTGATAGGACTGTATCGAATGCCCGTTCGAAAGTGGACCAATCCAAAGACGCCACGCAAGCCAGGGGCCAATGTGGAATATCCCCACTCGGCCCTCGCACTTGCCACGTCGCATCGCCCAGGTTGGAGGAAGGAACGGATGGGGGAGGCCCACCTGGCCTCGGCTCTGAGGGGATGCAGGAGGACATGATATTAAAGGGGGGGGGGGATATTGTGGGGTTCTCTAGTTTCCTTTGATATTGCCTTGTTTCATGGTAGGCCATATTTATGGAAAGAAATGGAGGCCCTCTCTGCTAAATCATGCTTGGGGACAAACACACCCCCCCCCCCTAGACTTTTAACTAACACCCCCCACACCCACTAGAGCTTGTATTGTTTATGTAATGTAATACGAGTTTGATTTTTCATTGTTTGAATTTGAATTAAGTGAGGGTTATTTTTGGGTGTGGGGATTGCAGAAAGATATATAAAACAGAGTAAAATAAATAAATTCATCAGTGGTTGTAAAAATTTGTTTTGTTTTGTTTTGCTTGGTTGTTTTGTTTTAATTGATGGGATAAATACAGGTGTAGCTATGAGTTTATCTATGAGTGGTACAACATGAAGTGCAATGAAGAAGTTGATTGACCTTGGTAATTTAACTCTGACACATGTGGTTGAATTGTGTTCAAAAACCAATTTGATGAGTTTAAGTATGATTATATTTGTTTGTTTTAAACACAACACAATAGCCTATTTCTCCAAATGGATGGAAAAAACTCATGTCATGGTATTGTTTTAAATGCCTAATTGATCATTTGTTTTCTCACTTTTATTTTCGATATATAAATATATAATCATATTTATATACATATTTACATGAAGTCTTTGGTTGGTGGGTTTTGACATTTTTTGTTACCTTTACTTGTTTTTCTTTTTCTGAAGTTCTGGTTCCTTTTAAACCAGTGGTGATTTTCAAGTATTTTATAGTATTTATTTTATTTTATTTTATTTATTTTTCCACATAATGTGAAAACGGCCTTGAATGTTTATGTTGGTGAATGTCATGTTATTAATGATTTAAAACACATTATAAATGTTATGAAAACTGAAGCATTGAATAAAAGCAACAATAACTATTGACCAGTGCAGTGTACTTAACATTTGTAGAAACAATCATGGAGATGAACATAATTTGTTTGTTTCAATACCAACAAATGTTAGCCATTCAAATAAAGTATACAAGTTATATGGTAAGTTCAGTGCATATACATAAATATATACAAAAAAAGATTGAAACAAATTTTTTTATATAAAGAAATGAAAAGAAAAGAAAGTACAGAGCAGTATAAATTTGTTACTTATTTTTATATATTTTTTTGTTAATAGAGGTGCCTTGAAATCAAGGACCATGTGTATCAAATTTTTAATTTAATATAAAAAAATTGAATAGGAAAGAAGAAGCCTAAAAGTGATTAGAATTGTTTTTAATATTTTTAGAAGTAAAATAATTACACATAATTGTATCCATAATTTATTCTCAAAATTTTATTTGTAAAATATTTACAAAATATTCTAATTGTATTTGGATTTTAACAAATGTGTAAATTAAGTATTTCATGATAAAAAAATTAAATTTTTTATTTTTGTCTCATAATTTTTAACTACATATGATTATCAAGCATCTTAAATATAATATCAGACTATTGTAGCACTTTGGCACAACTAAATCATTAGACTTTAATGTAAATAAATATTGTCTCATTCACCATTATTTTTAGAATCAAATCTTAGAAGGATTTATATATCCTTCATTCTTTTCTTGTCATTTCTTTCCTCCCACCACCTATGCTTGAGATTCAAAATATAACAAGTGAGTGAAAAAAATCTTTTGTGATGTATCTATTTTTAAATTTTATAAAGATACATAAAGCAAAAAAATCTTGTATCTATGGCAAAGATTGTTTATAGTATGCAAAAGATCTTAAGCTCTTATTACCCACTTAGTGTATTGTGAAGATAAAATTTACCTCTCACTCTAAATTAGAGGCTAGCTTCACTTAATTTTTGCTTATTAAAAAGACTCACAAGTAGTATGTACAAGGGTTTTGATGCCTTAATCTTATCCTTCAACCTACTTCCAAGGTGTCATAATCCACATAGAACTCATACACCCAATTACCTACCAGTTGTTGGTCATATTAGTTTTCTTTAGTAAAATTGACATTTCAGCAATTTTGATATCACTATGGTGTTCCAGAATTCTCATTTAGCCAGGGAATCTCAGAGGGCCAGTAAATCTTGCTGTAGTTCTTCATAATGGGCTCTTAAAATTAATTATTTTTTTCGTAATTTTATAATTAAAAATTTAAATTAAGAAGGTTAATTCATTTAACTAATATTATTAAAATTTAGAAAACATTATACTACTAAAAAAATATAAAATCAAACTAAATATATTCTACCACACTTAGGTGATTTTTATATAGTAATAAAATTAATAAAAAATATTTCTATAGCTCAATAAAAAATCAGGTTTTTTCTTTGGATGTTTTACTTACTTACAAATTCTAATAAAAATCATTCTAAAATGAATATATCCGTAATTTAAAAGAGAAAGGATAATACTATTTATCTAAATATCATATATAGGCAAAATTTAGATCAACCTCAATCTTAGATTTTTTTTTTTTGTTTTTGGAATAAGATAATATAATATAGAATGATTTTGATATGTTTTTAGCAAGATTTTATTTAATATATAAAAAAATTTAAACATGAACTTATACAATTTAAATCTCACAATGAAGACGTTATTTTTTCTACATACACATACTAAATAATTTTAAAAGTTAATAATTAATATGAAAATGGTATGATACATTAATTGATCTATTTTTTTATAGACAATAATATGAAATAATATATTACTAGAAAATTTACTTAATTATTATACACTAAATCAAGAAATAATCAACTTTCTTATAAAATATATCAATATATTTTTTTATTTTTTAAAGATTATTATACAATTTCATTATAATATTATATAATTTTTTAAATAAATTTTTATAAATTCTAAAAATAATTAATAATAGAAGTTATAAAATTTGATGCCATTAAAATTGAAGTTTATTGTAATATATAAAAAAATTTAATAATAGTTTAAAAAACAATATTTATAATATATAAACTTTAGAATCAATATCAATTTTATATAAGTATATAAATAATAATATTTTTTATAAATTTATAAAAATAAATTAATTCATCATATTATAAAATTTTAGATTTAATTTTTTTAGATTTATTATATTTATTAAATAAAATTATTCAAATAAATTAAATAATATATAGTTTTAAGTCACTTTTTGATTTATCTAATAATACATCAAAACAAAAATATATCTAATTTTTAGTAAAATAATTTTTTTGGAATAAGTTTATTTATGAATTTTATAAAATATAGATATTTTAATTTATATTTATGCTATATTTAATTTTTAATTTAAGACTATTTAATTCTTTATATTTTAAAGTATCTATTTTAATTTTAAAAAAATGTATACATAAAATATTCTTTAATTTTTTTCATCTCTTTTAGTTATCTACAAATATATTATATTTTTAAAATTTTGTCAAGATTTATGTTTTTATTACATCACATATGATCTATTTTTATTTATTTTTAATCAATATCACAATATGTGAGAGACATACACATTTACTTATATGATTAAGTAGAAGTATGTAAATATAGATTA